AGTTTCACACAGCTCTATGGGCTTTTCAATTGGTGACTTCTGGAGAAATCGCGCCTCTTGACCATCTCCCCCAAAGACCGATTTGAAAATTCGCTGTCAGTGGTGTACATGACTGAAAAATACTTCGTTCACCTTCCATTTTGAGTCGCTGGTTTACGTAGCCAGAGTTTCAGCCGCTCAGATCATATCCGTTTTTTTTGTCGCGTTGTACCTCTGGGAAGCAATTTTGCTAGGTCTGTCCTTGTGAAATGCGATAGTATGCTTTTCCTTTTACCACTCTGTTCTCGGCATTCCAGAGTGCGTTTCGATGCATAGGCGATATTTTTATATGTAGTAGAGGGTGGCCTGAAATTGCATGTTGACCCGCGTGGGTGATTTTACATTTGCATTTTGGTCTTTCCAAGCATCTCTATATTGAACGAAAATCTACTAGACTACAGCTAATAGCTGCTCAACAGACTTAGAGACCGACGAAGAAAAGTCCCCCGCCTTGGCAAGGATATCTGTCACAGTTTTGCATCTCCCATGTAAAGGTGTTACTTCTGCACGAGGCCTCACCCTTGAGGAGAAATGTTCTTTTAGCCGGCTGACTTATATACAAGGGTAGAATCAAAGAATTTATAATTTCCAGTTTAGATAGGACGAAAAGACCAGCGTCCGAAGAGGTCGCGCCTAATCGAGGTATCGTTTCTCTGTTCTGTTTTGGTTCTAAGCAGAAAAGTTCTAATTTCTGGGGTGAGAGCAATAAAAAAAGACGCGGGAAAAGTTGGAGCGAAAAACTTAAAGGACTCAATCAAAAGTTAAATTATGATTGCACATTCACGGCATAACAACTGCGCATCACGAAAATGGGAACACTGAGACCGGAAACAATTCCCGGGGCTTCACTCACAGTTATAGGACACACTAGACTGCAAGCGACCATGAGAGTTGCGAATATGACAGCTGCGTTGCGTAAGCGACTGTGAAAATGACGTCGCTGCACCTGTTAAAACGTGAAAACGTTGGTCCGACCAACGTTCTCACGTTCTAAGTAGTCTCCTTGTCAAAACTAACTGTGGATTTGTCCGATTCGGAACGAGACACGAACGAAGAACGGGCTTTTTGGACGCCTGCCACTGCAGCGCACCTGTGATTTGTTAGCACGTCGCCTCTGATTGGCGGGACTTTAGGCAGGAAGGAGCAAGAACGGAAAACAAGTCAACAGCGCAGTGCGCAGCCAAGCGAGCACCGCGGGCAATGTTCCAAAGGTTAATACCCGCACGAATGCGGGCAGATTAAGGAGGGACTTACAAAAAGACACGTACCATAGTTGATGCTTCTGATCCGCTTCATCTACTAATTCCACTTGATCCGCTTATGCTTGGTTTTTTTCGTGTAAAGACGCGCTCACTAATTTGTCATTGACGCCGCGTATGCGTTGAGCCGGCGCGTTGGCATAATGTAGACGATACCACCATGCGGCTAACGAGGAGAGGATACATAGTGGTCATGGCCTTTCCAGAAGGAACGCATAACATCTTGGCACATCAAACTCTGATTCCGACCTGTCTTCCTTATATGCGGAGCCCCTCTGGACAAAGAGTTATGAGAGGCTTTGTAGCGAAAACTTGAATGCGCAGCTAGAAGTAGAAGTCTCTTGTGAGCTCAAATGGAACGCTGGTGATTGTTAAACCTCTCTACGAAGGAAAACTTTCCTGCTTACTATTTTCGTGCTCGCCATTATTCCATCTTCGCGCTGAGAAGGCTGTCCTCATTGATTTCATTCTGACCAGGTGTTCATTCTTCCGATTCATAGAATTCTTATAACTCCTCACCCACAAGCGCTCCGCAGATAATGGAGGACAGATTCGGAGTCAGCGTTTGATGCGCTTCAAAACTGTACTCGTTAGTCCGTTAGTTAGCAAAAGTGTGCTTAAGTTATTCCACGCTTCGTCATCGTGGTGCAGCAAAAAAGACCGCTTTGAACTGAGCGGTCTTTTTTGCTGCACCACGACGAGAGGGTGTGGACTAGCTTATGCATAATTTTGCTCTTACATTAAGATCGTCTTACTTTCTAAATGTGTCCTTATATAATGTTTTCAGTATTGGGGTGGTAAAAGAGCAAACAGTGGTCATCAGTCAATTTGCTTTTTTGTACGCGACAAATAAGGAAAATCAAATATTAAAAAGTCGGACCGGCGCGCAGATGACGGCTCAGACAATGACTTATTTGATCTGCTCATAAAAATTTCTATGCAGCAAGGACAACATTTTTCCTTAGCATAATCTGATTTCTGACTTACAGGCTGCATAACTACATAATAAAGGCGATCATGTCTGCACATCCTTATAGGGCATTGTGAGAATAGACGGTCTCGTGGGAAGCCCTATAACTCTCCAAATTCCTCTTCCTTTGTCACTCGGCTGTTTCGCTTAATCTACTCTCCTTACTCCTCTACTCCCCCTTGATAGCCATCAACTCGCATTATCCAGCAAAATTCATTTTGTTCAAGATTAATTTTGTGAATGTTTATAACACTATAAATCAGAAAACTTGTAAATCGGACGGAATTTTCGGAATAACCTAAAACACAATCGTGGCTCTTCAAACGAACACATTGTGCGGAAACAGAACATTACTCAGCATAAACTCGGTTCTATCATCATTCAAGTAATTGCATTTAGGTCCAGAATAAGAAAGCCACAGTACAGACAAGAGTTTCGACTTGGTTCTCTATTTGAATGAGGATCGCAGCTCAAAAAAAGCTTCATATCCTTCATATCCTATATTCCCACCATCCTTCATTATGAACATATCGGGCGCGAGCAAAAACCTGTACCAGCCGCTTTTTTGGAGATTTCTTAGATCTTCTGATGATTCACAGCCGCCGACCGTCTTTTCTTTAGCACGTTTCGGACCGCGAAATCGCGCGCGGCGAAAAAGAGTGTACTTTCAGCCGTTAGCCTACAAAGGGACCTTATTTCGCAGCCTATGGGCCACATTTGTAATCAGCATGTCAGAGAAGCTCCATATCCAAAGTTCTGAGTGAATTCGAAGTGTTTGAATTTTGCCGCTTGAGAGGGACTTTCGTGCTTTCTTGAAAGATAGGAACAAGAACTCAGATTACAAAATATTCAAAAGTATCTGTGTTGTACACGGCACACATCAGTATTGAAACTACGGTTTTTCTCTTTGATATCGAAGCAAAGGAAAGTTGCGACGTCGCATGCGTTGTTCGCGTCGCCGCACTTCGTTGCAACTGTTGTTCGATCTGTGCTCATATCTCCTAAACAAATATCGGCGGCACAACTCTACAGAGTATTTGAAAAGTAGGAAATTAGACCTCTAACTTAACAACTTTAGACTAAAAGAAAACCTCCTGCAAACGCCAGAAACATCCCTCAAAGCAGCGTGCTGCACCATGTGCAGCACCGGTCCGAAACGTGTTAGAGTATTTTTTCCTCAAAGTCAACGAATGTACTGTTTATCTGCCCCAACAATGCTAATCATGTTTTTGGTAAGAACAGGCGATGTTTCGAAGTTATGAAATTTGCGATGAACCAGTCAAAAGTTGGGGTTTACCGAAAAAAATCGATATTCCAGGAACTCATTTGTTCTTATCAAAGACATGCTTGGCACTGTTTGGTTAGGAAATCAGTGCAACTTTGGGAGGTTTTCGTTGAATTTGAAAAAAATGGCTTTGAAAAGATGGCCGGTCGCGAGGGATTATCAGGGGATCATACAAAAAGCTGGAAATTGCGGCTTGTACAGCTTTTTGCTCCCGCTCGATATGTTCCTAGTGAAGGAAGGTAGGAATACTTACGAATAGGTAGACAAAATGAAATCTACATATCCGAACCTTCAAGATATAAAACTTTCTTTTGTGCTGCGATTCCTTCCCCAGCGGGGATCTTAGTGCATGCCCTTAGACATCGTAGAGCATAAAAGACACACTGTGCACAAAATGTCTTAGAAGTCTTACATCTGTATTTTCTTTGCTGGAACTTGAGCGAAGAACCATAGACAGAAAATTTGGAATAAGACTCAACAGGTAAGAGCAGCAAGGTAAACTCATCCTGAAACATCTTTCTCTAGTCTTTCTCGAGCTCGCAGATTTTAGGGGACGCACACTCCTTGGCAGACGGATAGATGACGTCCTCATTCTAGTACAGAGTTGCATTTTACCAATGATGATTGAGAATTACATTATATTTTATTCCTCATCAAACTGATCTGAATCACTCGCTTAGATCTTTCAGCGTTAATTAGGTGGAAAACAAGCGTTATAGGGAGGATCAACAACGCATACATATTTGGCATGGAGTTTTCAGCTTTTCCATATATTTGTTCGAATGTTTTCCACTTGATGGCAGAACCGTTACAAGATATGTGTTTGTTTTCTTACAATATTGAACAGAAACCGGCCAACAGATCTGATTTGGTCTGATATAGACTGAAGCTAGCTATACAACGAGCTCAAAGGTCCGCAAAAACTGTTGAAATAAAAGAGCTATATATGTTCGAGCAGGGGTGCAATTCACTTCGCTTGATCTCAAAATCGTAATTGTTTGCTTTATCATATAAAGATGCAAGGCAAACAACATACTTTTGCGGGAAAATCTTTACAATGGGTGAAGGCTCTTTGTGCTAAATTCGGCTCGAAAACAATATCATCAAAGTTTTGACGTTGCAAAGTTAGGCTCAATTACTTTTGGAACACTCATTATTGTAAAGCGTCCAAGATTAGATCAACTAACTGAAAACTGACTCCATAGCAATTTCGCACCTTCTCAGTTGCAGAAGAGCGAATGCCCGGTTTATTAAGTAAAATTTGCTTTACGGTATCAGGTCAACGAAACGTCGATCAAACCTGTGTAGTTTTACTCATGAAGTTCTTTGAGAACAGACAAGAAATTTTGTGGCCATTTTGACTACGTATGGGATCTCCATCAAGTATGTGCCTCTGACAGTCAGACGCTGGCGCAGTGAAGTGCTTGCGAAACTTATCTCAAAGCTCCGTTTCAATCTAGATTCTTATTCTTTTAACACCTTATAACTCAAGAACAATCCAAATCAATTGCATTGATAAACTGACAGACAGTACTCAACAAGTAAGAGCACTACAGTTGTACCGTGGCGGTATTCCATCTTACTTGTAATACATTCCGAACATGCCATAAGGACGGAAGTGATGGCGATGAAATCTTCCCATACCATATCCCCGTCCAAGCCCTGTTCCATAACCCATGTCGTATCCCATTCCGAAAGCCATACCGTATGGCCCTCCTGAATTGACAAAAAGGAGCATCCGAATTCAACGGAAGGCATTTAACTTAGGCCCGTATGCAGTTACATCCCCGCTGGAACTACTGCTCGCGAGTCAGGAACTAGCGAAAAATTCACAATCTTCAGATTCCATTTCTCCTGTCAGATCATGCAGGGGATCACTCAAAATTGCAAAAAACCAATCTTGTATGGCAGTAACCTGGCATCCATTATGCGCAAGTATAAGGGTATGAGAACCTTTATAGGGTAGAGAAGGGAGAAGAAGGATACCTAGAGTAGCGAGATGTGACGCATCCCCACTCAGATCCTCTCCCCTCCCAGCGGGGATGTACGTGCATACGGGCCTTATAGTGGCACTGCACGTAGAAATATATGATTGGATTCAGCTTACGCTGATCTCAAATACGCTTTTCCTAGCTGCTAAACATCATTCTGATGCAAGCTATTGATTTGTTTATGTGCAAAACTCGCATGTTTGACTTAGTGGCATTGTATCAGCATTTAAGTGCTATCTTATTGCCTCTTCTTACCAATGGCAAAAGATTCAATATGATATTATTTTAGTGTCCCAGCACCATTCTTAGATCCTTTCTCTCACAGGCAGCCTTTCCATAGATACACAGAAAAAAGATCGTAGCTCTCTTCTCATAGTAGGGTGACGCAGCTAGGGACAGTATATTTGGAATTAAAATTCGAAGCTGATTCCATGTGTATGCAGGGTATCCCCAAAAAAATGTGAACACTGTTTGATTTTTGATAACTCTCTTGCTTTCAAGTCTTTCGCCGAGCATGCGGTACGATTCTGTGGAGCGGGGTTCAACTTAGATTTCAAAGTATAGACCGAGTTATCGATCAGTCTTTATTACTGTGGGGTTACGGTATGAACGCTAAGCATAAGGCGTTACTATGTAATGGGCATTTCCATGAAAATAAAATTCCAAAAAAATCTGAAAATTGTGTAATAAGTTTTCAGGCGTGCTGTTTCCGGTACTCGAGTTTTCCTCCTTTAATAGTGTAACCACCTTCCGACAAACACTGGAAAAACAGATGTTACCCTAAACCTGAAATAACTGATTAAAAAAGCTTTACAATGAAGTGCAAATTTTATATTCAAAATTAACGACTTCAATTAGTCCAGTACAAGAGTTTTTGGCTTGTTTTTTTTCTACGGCAAAATCGCTTTCACTTTCCTAAACATCCTTCTCAAAGTTCATACCATAATACTAGAGTAATGAAGAGTGACTGATGATTCGGTCCATACGGATACGTTAACCTAAGTTGAACCTCACTCTACAGAATGATACCTCAAGGAAAGACTTGAACACGAGAGAGTTATTAACGATCAAACAGTGTTCACATTTTTTAGGGACCCCCTAATGCGTCACATTTCAAAAAATATATGTTACCTGACTTCCATTGTTAATAAACTTTCAACATCAACATACCAAACTGTGCCGAAGTCATTGAGGCAAGAACGAGAAGGACAAGGATGTTGAGAAACAGCTTCATTGTTGCCATAGTCGTATGAGTTTTAAGCAGAAAACTCTATAGACTTACCAGATAGAGGGCTTTTATACCAAAACTATTTTGCAGATGAGAAGGTCGGTTGCAAAGTACTAGAAAAAAAAACTACTGATCAGGCGCCCAATTCAGAGGCTGAGGCATGCCATTTTTAGCATTTTGATAAACGCGTGGTTAGATCTATGGAACCGGTCTCCCACCTTAAAGTGATTAACAGAACTTCTGCAAGAATCATAGAGTTATTGACTTTGTTCAGATCCATGTAAAAATATTACACATTTACAGTGTTGTGAGCAATTTGAGAAGTAGCGACGCTGATGAGCGATGCCAAAGCCATAGTCATCACTATTTTTGAAGGGAATGATCGCAAAATACAGCCGAAAAGCACGTACAATCACGGGCTTCGGTTTTTTGCTCGCTTTCTTCTATAGTTCCAAGAACTCCGAATGTTCTGATCCAAGGAAAATGCTACTAATTCTACTTTTTGGACTTCGACGAATTCGCTTGCAAATTTGGCGAATCTGGTGTTTCCTGCAATATGATTCACGCACTTTACTAACTTCAGTGATCATCTGATTTTAGCAATGAAAGGCTAAGCGTAAAACTATGCATTTTATAACCTCCATGCATTCTTGCGCGTTCGCTACGGGGAGATGAGAAGAAAGCTGCTATAGCGCATTCGAGAAATCGTGACGATGGCGCGACCGCGCGCGACACGCACGCATCTCCCGACAACCGCATTTTCTTGGCTGTCATCTCTACTCGGACGATTTCTGCTTATATGACAGTATTTAGACATTGAAATAAATGAGCTGAATGTTGAGTCGATGCCTTTTGAACAAGTGTTTTCCGCTCCTCTGTGCGCAAAGGCCACAGTCAAAGCCGTCGTCACGATTTTAAAACAAACTATACTTCCTATAACATCGTGCCAAACTCTCTCCTTTTTCCTGCACAACTTAATAATAATTATTAATTTTGAAAAGGATTGTGCAACTAAATAAGAATAGCCGCAGCTGACTCAAATATGGACGTTTTAACCAAATAAAATCAACGGGATAGATGTGGCATCCACATCTATCCCTTTGATCTATCACATTTCTATCAAATATCAAAACTGCAATCTTCTTTCAGGCCTCCAAAGAAGACGAAACTTGTCGAAACGTAAGGCGATAAACGACTCGAAAAATTTGGGCTCGGCAATGCAATCAACACACTCAATTTGATCCAAAAGAACTTTTGCACCTCTGCAAGATTTGATCTTCATTATGGAAAAAAACTTCTAGATTTCATTTTACAACTACACAATGCCATTTCAAGGAAGGTAAGGGGCCGACAAAATTGACAACTCTCTGTCGACTGCTGCCGCTTGAGCTTGCGTATCGTTTCGACAGACACTATTCAAGAATCTTTGATTTTTTACAAAATTTCATATAAAATTGTTTATTGCCGACTTGCTGCCTTAAAACGGATTAACTAGTGTCTGATTATCCCCCAGACCAATTTCTGGCTGTCAAGTGTTATTTAACTCAAGAAGCAGAAAAATATGGGTAAGATAATTGGAAAAAAAACAACCAAACAAGATTTGAAGTTTGTACCTTGAAAATAATGACTGTAGGCTACATTTTTTTGTAAGGTCAAACCTGACGCAAGCGTGTGAAGTACTGTGAAGTGATTACTTACACTTATCTGGATGTATCTCTGCCTGGAAAATCGATTTGAAAAATTTCTGAGTAGAAATGCTTTTGGGCGTTATTTTATTCGAACTGCAGAAAAAGCTCTTTTACAATTTTCAACTCAAGCAATTTTTTTCAGAGAAAAAACAAGTGAATTTTACCGTTCTCTTGGAAGACATTCAATATCTCAATAATAAGTCGTAAAAATTAATTTGCCGCCATTTATACGTTCGTCCATTACCTGACCTAAATGGCAAGATTATCCTCTCTCTCGACTCTGTGTTTTTGAGTCAATCTTTTCTGTGAGAAACTCAAAACAAAACACCGGCTGCACAAAGCAGTTTAATTGCGGGTGGTTTGGATTGCAGCACTCACTGCAGCAGTCGCAACCTGCTGCAACAGCTGTGATCGTTGCATGGCAATAAGATCGACAAATTTTTGCTACGAATATGCTTTTCTTATACATGGTGACCCAGAAAATCTGACTAATGCTTGATGGTCAATAACTCACTTGTTGTGAAATCTCTCGAAAAAAACCCTAAGGACCTCCAAGTTGCTCAAGCAGATTGCACACCACATCAGACACTCATATGTACCGTTGCTGTATTTTTTTCTCATTTAGAAATCAAGGAAATGAAAATTTTCGTCCTTATACAAAAACGAAGCTGTATAGTATTGTTTTCACTCATGTAATTGTTTACCACAAGCCTTTAGAAGTATTACCGTAAACTTCCAGCTTTCTACCGGTAGTTTCTGAAAATTACCGAATAGAGTTTTCCCCGCTCGGATGTTCCATGCTAAAACCAATAATTTTCGAAAACTAGGGCCTGTAAAAAGCTAAATACGGTTATACTTCTAATGGCTTGCACTAGACAACACATGAGTGAAAACAGCATAGCTTCGTTTTTGTATAATCTAATATATCAGGCTGTCTCATAAGTTCCGTCCGTTTTGACTTTCAATCGCAGTAAATCATGAAATTCTTGTTTCTGGATAAACTGATACCTTTCGATAGAGCAAGGCAAGCTCTACAAGATGGCTATCTCGCTTTTGCACCAGCTCTGATCCATCTCAAGTTTCAAGGCGAAAACTGAAAAGATTCAACTGCACGAAAAATCGAAAAAAAATCATAACCCCGTTTAAGAAAATCCTACAAAATTTCTAACTTGCTCGCGTATACCCTATCCATCTAAAACCTTTACATACGCGGTTGCCGTATTTTTGCCTTGCTTAAAATTCAAGAAAACGAAGATTTTCATGTTTTTGCTAAAGCGATGCTGTGCTGTTCCTACATAGACAGTTGTATACTACTAGCCTGTAGAAGTACAAATGTAAATTTCCAGCCCCCTACAAGCTTTGGTTCTCGGAAAATATCGAATACAGCTTGCCTTAGTTGGGTGCGTTAATCTCTATTTCCCGAAAACCAAAGCTTGTAGGGAGCTGGAAATTTACACTTGTACTTCTGCAGGCTAGTAGTATACAACTATCTATGTAGGGACAGCACAGCATCGCTTTAGCAAAAACATGAAAATCTTCGTTCTCTTAATTTCTAAGGAACAAATACGGCAGCGGCGTATATAAATATCTTAGATGGATAGTGTTTGAACGAGCAAATTAGAATTCTTGTAGAATTTTTTCAAACGAAGTTATGATTTTTTCTCGATTTTTTGTGCAGTTAAATCTTTTTAGTTTTCGCCTTGAACCTCGTGATGGATCAAAGCTGGTGCAAAAGCGAGACAGCCATCTTGTAGAGCTTGGTTTGCTCTATCGAAACGTATCTTGAAATTTATCCAGAAACAAGAATTTCATGATTTACTGCGATTGTAAATCAAAACGGACGGAACATGTGGAACAGCCTGATATTAGGTTGGAAACTAAGTTTTGCAACTGCTTTCATAACTTTACTCTCATTAGACATGGCGCACTCAAAATTTGGCTATGTGTGCAAGTGACGGTGCGCCACAATTTCTCACGAACTGTTTAATTTTTGAGGAAAAAATAGAAAAATTACAAGCATTCTTCAAAAACCAAGGAATTTCGAGAATTTATGAGGTTATAAGCAAAAATGAAGCCGTTCGCAACCCAAATCATGCACAGTGATCCGAAATTGCATGTGGATTATTGCTTAAGGTTAACTTATTTGGCTCAGTAGGAAAGGAGGGCCTTTCACGAAGATGAATTACGCAAGGCTGCTGCCAACAACCATTAACGACTTAGGAGTCGGAAGGTTATTATCCGCGTAGACTTCACATAGTGAGGTTATTCGACCTGCTAATCACGATCATATTCATCTGCTAAATTATCGCCTTTTTTATCGTTTACGGTAAGACCCTTAACGTAGAGCTACTGTAATCTTGCAAAAAAACCCTCACCGTGCAAATTCGGCATGTTATTCGTGATCAACATGTCGGATAACCTCCCTATGCCAACTTTCAGCCAAATCCGTAATGATTTATAATTTTCCCTTTCATACAATATACCTACCGTAATTCTTACTGCGACGTCAGAATTTCGCGGAACAGCAGCTGTGCTTATAGCTTTCGTTATAATCTATTTATTGGCAAAATTTGAGCCAAGTTGACAGAAAGTAAAGTTATTGAATGAGTTGCAAAACTTATTTTCCAACCTAATATAAAGAATGGTTGACTCAGTGCAAAAATTGCAAATAGCGGGAAACCGCGCGGCGGTCCCGTAGCGAACGCTCTTCCAAATAGCACCTTTAGACTACTGGTTCACTAGTAAGGACGAAAATTAAATTTTCGTTTCCTTAATTTCTGAATGAGGAAAAAATACAGCAACGGTACATATGAGTGTCTGATGTAGTGTGCAATTCGCTTGAGCAACTTGGAGATCCGCAGGATTTATTTGAACGAAGATATAAATTGTTCCCAATATTTCGAGCCTTCAGTACGACTCAGTCTTGAGGCAAACTTACGTTGGGTCGAAGCTGGTGCAAACTTTTGCTTACCATCATGTAGATTTGCTTTGCTCTATCGAATGGCACCTCTGTCGATGTACATGCATTAGGTTTCGAATTATAGAAGATTTCGTTTCAAAATGTCCGAGAAGTCTCGAGCCAACCTAATAGAAAATTTCGTCGTATGGGCGTCGCTGGAAAAAGCTGCCATTTCAAATAGTTTCAGGAAAAATCTGAATTTTTGTGTAATAAGTTTTCATGGAAGCCGAGGCTGATACTCAGTTTCGTATAAGATTGCAAAGCTTTCTAAACGTTGTAACCACATTTTTAGCAACATCGAAAATACGGCTGCTATTTGGCACATTCTTCCAAGGAAGCATTATAATGAGATGCAAACTTCATATATAGAATCAGCAAATCTAAATAGCAAATGTGTGAGTTCTTTAATGAAGAAAGATAAGAAAGATGGGTGTTTCGATTTATAGTGCGAATCTAAGTTGAAGTGAGCTCTACAAAATGGTAGCCGAAGCTTTTCCGAAAACTTTATGACAAAGGAATTATTGACTATCAAACAGTAGGCACATTTTTTGGAACACCCTGTCCATCGTGGAAGCAATTGATATGTAACTACCCATTAATTCTGTCTTCTGTACTTCTTCTTTATCTTACTTTAACTTTTGAAACGACCTAATTTATTTATGATGGATTCCCCAACAGGCAATGTAAACCTATGAACATTACTATCTGCGGAATTTGCACTAACAAGGGAAGGATACTAAGTTAGATTCGCCTACTGAGATGAAACATATATATTTGGAATCAGGTTGGAACGCTAATTCCAAATATGCTGTTCCTAGCTGCTTAGCATTATTCTAAAGCGAGTCATGATCTCTTTTCTAAGCAAAGTTTGCCTGATTTTCAAGCTACGGATGCTACAGTGTCGACGTGTAGATGCTTTCGCAATCGTATAATGCTCCCTTTCAAGATCGAAAGAATTAATCTGATGCTAGTTCAACATCCTAGCACTTTTTTCGAGCAGATTCTTATCTATACGCCGTCTTATGACATTCAGAAGTTTGTTAATTACTCATAACGGCAAACCCATAACTCGCTCCGGAATAACGCTAAGCAGCTAATAACAGCATATTTGTAATCAGCGTTCAAAGCTGATCCCAGATATATGTGTCTCATCTCAAAAGACGAATCTAAGTTAGTATCCTTCCCTTGTAAGACCTAGACCGTGACGTCGCCCCTGTCGCTTGAGAGCTGCCTGATACTCTAGATGACCTTACTTGTTCCATAAGTCGCGCGCACAATCTACAGTAATGAAGACCAAATTTAGTTTCCAGCTAGAACGAAAATTTTGCCAGAGGTTCACGCCTTGTACTGCAGTGATGCAGAAAGAAAATCTTTGAATGTATCTTGTTGCGAATTTGATAGCAATGCTAAGCCAACGCCACTTCAAATGTCCGTCAGAACTTGAGCTAGCTGTTAGCAGCTTAAAGGCAAGACTATCTTTTTCCTGATATTTTTGATCCACCCACTTTACACCTTGTTCAAAGGCCGTCAGCGAAGATAATGTGTGAATAGTCTTTCCCTATTTCATATTGTTGAAACTCTACCATCATTTAAAAAGAAGGGCTTCTCTCCTTACACTTTATTTGGACCTATAAACTCCGTTTCTTCGATAATCATCTGAAAAGAATACTATTCAAAAGAAATTCATGAAATGAGCCAAGTAAGTCAACAACAGCGAATACCGAAGGACCTTCCGGCCAAAACAAACTATAATAGTATTTTTCTCAGTGCCGGCGAAAATGGATTGCTTCAGACCGCCACCGCGCAACTTCAAGACTATAACTTTCGATCAAAAGCAAGAAATACAGCTGGGAAGTCAGGAGTCTTACCTCCTAGTGGAAATCCTTACCCACCTGCGGATTCCCTGCTCCGCGACAGAGTACGAATGCCGCCATACTTCAACGACGTAGGGTTCCGCAGCGATTCTGCGTCTCAGCTTTGGAGGGAAGTGCTCCACTCGTTCAAACTCAAGTTGTAAGGTTTAAGACGCCTGTTTTCGCCTTTTCGGCTCTCTAACATGGCTTTTCAAATTCACCTTGCGGATAACTCAAATATATGCTGCTGCATGACGAGGCGCAATATCCTTGTTCGCAAACGCGGCTTTTTTGGCCGCGGAGCGCTTGAGGCGCAGGATTCACAGGAGGATATGCGAGCATCGCGTTCGCGCCCGCTCAACTATACTGCTTCTACGCCTTCGTCATGCAGTAGTCTTTGATTTCAAAATTTCGGGTGCAGCCCCGCTAGGGGGGGGGGAGGAGGCGTTAAAAACATAAATTACGGTGATTTTATCCCCGAAGACCCTGCAAAGAGGGAAAAACACACTCTTTAGAAAGAGAAGAAAAAGCTGCATCGTGTAGCGCCCGAGCTGCTCTCCTTTGATGTTCTACGAGGTTTTAGCTGAAAAAGTTCGGATTAGTAGCACCAATTAAAATTCTATCGAAAAGTATGACGAGCTATGCAATGGAGGGAAAAATGTTTTGCATTATTTAGGTTTTGCTTTATAAACATGTTATAGTCGTCCTCACCCCACTAGTCGGTCAGTGGTCGAATTTGAATTCGAATTGGAGCAGGCTGACCGCGGCAGAGCGCGGCAGACGCCGCCTTTCAGCCAACCGCTTGCACATGAGCTTTTTTCTTATTCTTGATGTTTCTTTGCTATCTTTCGTATTGCGGCAATGTTCTTTATCAGATTTTTAGATTTCGCCCTGCTAACTAAAGTGCGGTTCATAATTATACGAACACCTTAAATTTTGAAAGTTATTAGACTTTTTGGAAGAAACTCAAAAAGCCGTTGGTGCCACGCGATAGAGCACAGTCGAAAACGGTATTTGACCCATAAGAATGGAAATCGATGTCAATCTTAGAAGTGTTTCTGCGCCTAATGCGAATTTTTAGCTGTTCATAATTATACGAACACCTCAAACAAAGGTCCATTTTTCATTCAAGATTGCATCTTTCGAGTCCAAATTTTTTGTAGAGTTACAGTAACAAAGTCTGACATATCTGCTACATACTGAACCCAGTGCAGTTTAAAAAGAGGATCTTTACTCTTTTCAGATGGCTCTAAATGCTTTTGGTGTGATTGCGCTCCAGAAACTTCCGTTCTTCTGTAGTTCACGCACTCTGATTAGCTTCTACCAAGGCTACGAGATAAAATAAGCTTCTTCGATAGGTATTTTGTTTGACGCTTGGAAAATCTATGCGTTTTTGTACCTTTTTTTAACCAAATTCCAATCTTACCTTAAAGTTAGCACGATTTCGAGCCTCAAAACTCAGCCATTCTTCCGCGCAAACACTTGATATAAAGCAGCTGCATTGTTTGCATGATAATGTATTCATGTCAAAGTTTTTGGGTTTTTGTAGAACTGTTCTCGAGGCTATGGAGCTACAAACCAAATAAATGTGTGATTGCAATAGTAAAAACAGTGGTTTTGGTTAAATGACGTCTGCGTGGCCGAAACAAACGCTTAATGTTGCTGATTTTTTCTAGCCAAATACACTGTCTTGTGAACTTCTACATACTATAAGCTTACTTCATTGTAGGGCTTCAGAAGCTGAGTTTAGAGGCTTGAAATCGTGCTAACTCTAGGGTAAGTTTGGAACTTGGTTGAAAAATGGCACGGAAACGCAAAAATTTTCCAAGCCCCAAACAAAATACTTATCAAAGAAGCTTATTTTATCTCATAGCCTTGTAGAAGTTAATTAGTGTGCGTGAACTACAGAAGAACGGATGTTTTGGAGCGCAATCACTCCAAAACCATTTAGAGCCATCTGAAAAAAGTAGAGATCCTCTTTTTGAACTGCACTGGGTTTAGTGTGTAGCAGATATGTCAGACTTTGTTACTGTAACTTTACAAAAAATTTGGACTTGAAAAATTGCAGCCTTGAATGAATAATGGACCTTTGTTTGAGGTGTTCGTATAATTATGAACCGCTAAAAATTCGCATTAGGCGCAGAAACACTCCTAAGATTGACATCGATTTCAATTCTTATGGATCATATACCTTTTTCGACTGTGCTCTATCGCGTGGTACCAACGGTTTTTTGAGTTTCTTCCAAGAAGTCTAAAAACTTTCAAAATTTAAGGTGTTCGTATAATTATGAACCGCACTTTATTGTTTTGTGCAGTTGTGCTCGTTTGTTTTACATTTTTTCCATGTAAACCGGGAAGAAGGATGCTATTGGAGATTTTTGGATGAGAAATTTCTTTTGTCGATAAGTGACATATACATAAATGTGATTTGATGAAATGTGTCAAGTTTATCGTTAGAATATGTACTCTAGACTATTTTTTTGCGGTAAGGCTGAAATTCTCTCGAAAAGTGTTTGCAAAAAGTTAGCGGTATGAAATCTGAAAGTCTGATTAAGAACATTGCCGCAATCGAGAGATAGCAAAGAAAAACGAGTAAAATAAGAAAAAAGCTCGTGTAAGCCATTGGCTGAGGGGTGGCGTCTGCCGCGCTCTGCCGCGGTCAGCCTGCTCCAGTTTGAATTCAAATTCGACCACCGACCGACTAGTGGGGTGAGGACGACCATACTTGGACTTCTGCGGAGGGTCTATATAAAAATTTGGAAAAATTGTGAAACTTGAGCATCCAGAAAGTTTGGGTCGCAGATTTTGGCAATTCCTAAAGACATCACTGCTTTTGCTTCAGTGATTCTGCAAAGAAAGAGAATGAGATGCTGCATCGAACACCCCAAAATATTTGAGAAATCCTTGTTTTGTCAAATGTGGCGCTCCTTTGAAAAGAGCGGAATTACTTTTGGAATGACCTTATATATTGTACATAAAAAGACGAGCTCGCAGACGCACTTTATTGCATGTGAAGCGGGTACAAATCCCACATTATATTCGCATCCTACTTGCCGAATCCCATACCGTATGGCATCATTCCACCCATTCCATAGCCTCCGTACATCCCAGGATAGTATGGGCGACGACGTCTTGGGTAGTAGTTCATTCCGTACATGCCTGAACGTTACGCAAAATGAACTTAACAAGCAAACTCTTCTTACAATTGATATACCTCCGTAGTACTGAGCAGATGCAGTACATGCTAGCATCAATAGAGCAAAAACAGCAAGTATTATCTTGCTCGAAACCATATTGGAAAGCGCTTGTTGAGTACAGTAGTCGACAAGAACAGCTGTGATCAATCGTGTTTGCGAGCACTTAAATAGTCCCACTCAATTAACCTCAATTTACAAGAGAGTGAAGTTTGTCAAACAACTTCAACACTGAAAGGAGCAAAAACGTGCTCTTCGCGGAATTAACAACCTCAAAATTTCACAAAATTGTCGGTTAGAGTGAAGTAGTCTTCTGTAAAATTTTGAAGAAAGCGTAAAAAATTTGTGGTAGGTCAAAGCGTTAAAAAGTGCAAGAATGAAGCACAATCTATCTTATCTAGTTCTGATGCTCTTGGTTTTAAGTTTTCTATAACTTTTCAATTTGGATGGTCAACGTTGAATAAGCAGTGAATGATCCCATCCGTTTGGAGAGGTTCCTTGTTGTTCAACTAATATCTAGACACTCTCCTCAAGACGGACAAGTACTTTTTGGTTTTACTGCAGATATGAGTCAAAAATCTTCAAGGCACAAATATATAGTAAAGTGAGGAAAAGTCACTCGTAAGAATCTTACTATAGACGAGCTAAAGTCGTCTATTTTCTGTGTGCTTGTTTAAAAGTAATTTTAAGAGATTCGTAAGAAGAGTTACAACCAAAGTCTTGAACCCCAACTTTGCACAACCACTATCAGCATGTAGGTCCTCCAAGGAAAAGCACGAACAAGTCTAATACGAAGATCCCACGAAAACCATAGAAAAAATCAAGATCCACAGAACCTTTGGTAACTTGATTGAGACCTTATTCAGACATTTTGCAAGGTCACAATTTTTTGACGCCTAATAACTGCAAAACATCAATTTCAACTCGAAAGTTGTTTAAAAGTGTATTTTTGAAAAGGTAAGCAGATTAAAAAGTTTTCATTTTTTACCTACGAGGCTGACAAAACTTGGGCGATTTTTGCTCAGAGGCGTAACTTGCACTGATCGTTGTCATAAAACAACAACTATCAAGTTGCTAATCAGCGACTGACTAGATCAAGATATTTACCTGAAATTGTACTTAATAGATTTCTCATTGAATGTTGCCAAGCTAAAGTCGTATGCTCAGCATTATTTCATGATTTTGTTGCTAAGGCGGTATGTAATGAGCAGGCTTCCACTGAGACACTGGGACCGGGCGAGCCGCGGCTTCAAAAAGCCTTTCCGACCCGTCTGCGGCCTTTATTTGTGGGCGTGGCCCGAGTGCGGCCGAGCCGCGGACCTTAATTTATGTCAGTATCATTGCACCGGCCGAGCCGCGGACTGAATATGGCTTACCGGCTCAGCCGCGGCCTTAGATGGGCTCAGACACTATAAATATTGATTGCACCGGCCGAGCCGCGCATGCTGCGAAATTCCAGCCGGAAAAGGTCCGCGGCTCGGCCGCTTCCATTGTCTGAGCAATGGGTTAGGACTGATACACATTACATAGATGTCAAATTCGGTAAGCTATGCTTTTAGTTGTTCGTAATCTGAGTTTAGTGTAGAAGAAAAAGCGTAAAATGCACCATCCGTCGCTTACAGCAAAGCTGCCATATCTCTTTTACCTTTGCTGATGACTCCTTTCTTTCTGTGTTCGATCCCTCCACGGCAAAGCTATTCAAGTATAGAATTATATATGATCCGTTTGATGATGATGCCAGCATCGAGAAGTACCGGAAGAACCTTAATTGCGTGAGTGCAGTGACGCACAGTGATAACCCGTGTACTACAACTATTATAGTTCTCATGACTTCTTCTTCGGTTTAGATCAGAAGCTGGATTATTTCTACTTTTGACTCGAGCAGAGCTTAAACATTGGGTGTGTTCCCTCTTTTGAGCATGAAGAGCACTCATCTTTGTTGTCAGGTTAGTTAGCCCCTACCTCTTTCACCCCCTTGCCAAAATGCGCTAGCACTCGTTTCGATCAACGTGAAAATGAAATCGTTGGAGAATCGAAGGTGATATAGATGCAAGATGTCGATTTTGACCCTTGCTCATCTCACAAGGGAAGGATGATCGGTCGAAGTGGCCATTTGGAATGAGCTGTATATCAGGAAACCGTCCTCGGTAAGGCAAACTCAAAACTACTTTCGCTGGGTGCCGAGCGGTTTTGTGAGGGGAGTTACAAGGCCATTTTCCTCCGGCGCAGCCAGCGCACCCGTGATGAGCGAGGCGCTAGAATAACGCAGTAATGTGGCGATGGCGCAGTGGCAAGGCAACGGACTACTCGAGTCTTGTTGCTGTTACTTTGTTTTGCAGTTCTGTAAAAAGTCTATTGGGTTACAGTAAACGAAAAATACTCATTCCTAGGCAGTTGAAACAAGCTATTTACTGCAAAAAAGTCACTATTTCTATAATAAGCTATAATATTCTACAATATGTAAATCTGTGGAGGTTATGATGTCACAACAATGGATTCAAATGATATGTCAACATGTATGGAATACAACCACAAAATGCTCAAGCAGAATAGCTTCTCGCAGCGCGCGCACTTGCAAAATTGCAGTCGATTTACATCCCATGTATTGGCTCTCGATCTGAACTATGCCTTGCATGGATTCCATCCTTAAGATCTTATCGCTCATTTACGCACAGTTTTGCTCACCGCGATTCAAAAATTTCCTTTCATACCCATGGCATGCAGCCGGATACATTGATAAACCTCGGCGAATTCGAGTCTCTTCTACTGTTTTTCACCCGACTTTGATAAGCAATTGTGAAGCTGCTGATTGTCATCGTTGATATTTTATCCGATGTGCGCGCTGCGAGAAGCTCTTCTGCTTTGAGCATTTTGTGATTGTATTCCATACATGTTAATATATCATTTGAATCCATTGTTGTGACATCATAACCTCCACAGATTTATAAATTCTAGAAGATTATAGCTTATTGTAGAAATAGTGACTTTTTTGCAGTAAATAGCTTGTTTCAACTGCCTAGGAATGAGTATTTTTCGTTTACTGTAACCCAATAGACTTTTTACAGAACTCAAAACAAAGTAACAGCAAGAGTTTGCCTTACCGAGGACGGTTTCCTGATTTACAGCGCATTCCAAATGGCCACTTCGACCGATCATCCTTCCCTTGTCAGTTCAGTGTAACATTTTCTCTTTTCATTCTTTACATTTTTGAAGAGAGCGCAAAAAAATTTTAGCATTTAGGTATCCCCATGTAGTACACTACCGCTCATAACGTGTCTAAAAAGTCGCCGGAGTGCGCTGCAGTGCGCCGGAGAGCAGCGGAGTGCGCCGCACATTAGTAGAGTCAATCGGAATCCGCGTCGCATTAACTCGCTTCAGTATGGACGAATTTTGAATCCGAGGACATTGTTCGATTCAGCTCATCAAGGCGCATCATACAGTATATGGAAGTGTCACAATCTATCAGGGGTACGATAGGCATACTGTAGACAGTAAGTTTTCGCTTAATTTTGCAGGTTTTTGTTTGGTGGATTGTTCAGGTGCTGGTAACAGTATTGCCATTGATTTGTCGCTTATGACACACTAGTTGACTTACCCGGCTCCGCCCGGCCCTGTCATTATTACGTAATCAGCATGCTCGATTACCCCCTGTGCCAACTCCCAGCTCCGTAGCTCAAATTCTGCAAAAAATCGATAAAATCGATATCGATCGATGACGAAAAGCAGCCTGTGACACCCGCCGGGGCCCGAATTGTATGTGTGCCAAGTTTGGTCCGGATCGGTTCAGAAATGGAATTTTCTATTCGGAACATACGTGCATACATACATACAGACAGACAGGCAGGCAGACAGACAAACAGACATTCAGCTTTATATATAAGATAGCAGGTATATGTAAGAGTATGCTACAGAGTCACTCTGACCGAGTTTGTTCTTAAATCAGCTCAAGGTACAATACTGCTTACAGAATGTGCAAAATTCCTGTGAACTTCGCGGAATCCCAGGATTTCCGCGAAATTTCGCGATAGAAGTCCGCGACTAGGGGACTAGACATGCAGGCGAAGTTAGGGGCTTTCGCAATTCCGTTCCAGTTACCCATATTTCTGCAAAAAGACCCTATACCTGACAGAGACCACGATTTTCATGAACAGCGTGTTCGACAACCTCTATGAGCGGAGTTTCGTTGCAAAGCAAGATCATCAACATTTTGACCAAAACCCATTGGCGAGCTTCAGAGCGTGAAACGAGAAAATACTGTTGTCAGCACATTGAACAATCCAACCAGACAAAAATCTGCAGAATTAAGCGGAAACTTTTGTCTAACGTGTACCTGTCGTACCCTGATAGTTTGTGACACTTTCATACGTCGATTATGCGTCTTGCAGAGCTGAATCAAACGGTGTCCTAGTATTCAGAATTCGTCCATTCTGAGGCGAGATATGACAATGCGACGCGGATTTCGATGGACTCTACCGATGTGCGGCTCCGCTGCACTGCAGCGTACTCCGGCGACTCTTTCGACGAATTATGAGCGGCACTGCATTTTTCTGGGTTGATGATGATGTCTTGGAATTGCTTGCTGATGTAGGTTGTTACGATATAAACCTTGATAGATGAGAAAGAGCGGTATTTGCTCTTTTGCGTAACAATTTTGCCACAGTTTTGAAGAGACGGTGAGAAGTTCTTCAGATCTTTTAGCCTGCTCCTATTCTGTACGATTTCCCTCCATTATAGCGTGCGAGTCAAAATGAAGAAGCCGCGGCGACATAATGCCCTTGAGATGACTTAAAGGAAGATGAACATCACTATCAAAGAGATCCTAGCAGAAGTAGCGCACAATGACATTTAGAAAGAATATGGTTTCTATGAGGCGTGAAGTGCGACATTTCTGGTCTTGCGGCCATATGGATTTGAACAAGCTTTGGCGTACGTTATTATCTTTTAGTCTCATGCAGTCATTCAAGTGCTACCTTTTCTCATTGAGGCTTCCTTTAATCATTGCTCTACATCGTTTCACAAGCTCAAATGTCAGCCACTTGCCTGTGGCTCGTCGACTACCTGGCATATTAACTCCCCCCCCCCCACCCACCAAGCTTTTTTGTACTTTCAGCTTTCTCAGGATAATTGCAAGA